TCAGGGGACCTGTTTCCTAAGTTTGTAACCAAGATTCATGATGCCAAGGAGCACAGGTACTCAGTGGCACCAAAGTCTGTGGTGTCCCATGTACCCCAGGGGCCTCACTGCCGAAGGAATGAAAGATGGGCCACCCGATGGCACTAGAGAGATGCACATTCACTCGCCACTATCTGGAGGTGGATATAATTTTTCCCACTTTTAAAAAAATTTAATAAGTCATCTATAGCTCCTTGGTTCACAAAAAAGTTGATAATCAGTCTACATTGCAGGTCTTTCCATCGTTCCAGTCCCATGTCATTTCACAAGGTCCAAAGAGCACAAAATACAAGGTCCAATAATTAAGTTCGCAAACTCATTCTAGAAAAAGTGCTCCATACCTCACTGCTGAATATCACTGTGGTCACTTTCGAAGTTCTCCCCTTGGGAAGCTATGCACCGACGCCAGCACCTAGTCCACCCGTCCAAGCAATTTTGGAACTCTTTTTCTGGAATGGCCATCAGAGCTGTTGTCATATTACCCTTGATGTCCTGAATGTCATTAAATATCTTCAATATTTCCTTTATCTTTGGGTAAAGAAAAAAGTCATTGGTGGCCAGACAAGTAGACTAGGCGCTGGCGTCGGTGCATAGCTTCCCAAGGGGAGTCCTTCCAAGGTGACTATAGTGATATTCATCAATGAGGTATGTAGCACTCTTTCTAGAATGGTTCATAAATCTAACTGTCGGACCCCGTATATAAAACTACCAAAGAATCATACCACAATAAAGTTGTGTGAAATTTGCTTCGGTTACACTCTTTTTATTTCTATGCCTCAAATAATTGGGCGTTGAATTCATCATTGAAGAGAAGGAAGACTCTTTGGTCATGGAAAAATAAGAGCAGGACTTAACTGAAATAGTAATTCTCCCCTTTTGCAGAATTCCTATTTATATTTTGATTCCAAACCCCTTCATATAGACTTCTGGATGTGACACAGTGACCTCTTCTCACTTCTACCCTTTTCCTCATGAGAGAGCTTGATTTTCAGCAGTGCTTCCTTGCAGCTCAGGGAACATGGTAGAAAATAAATCACAAATATATAAAAATATATAGTACCGCTTAACCACATTTCCAACACTTCCTTGCAACCGCACCCAGAATGCCATGGATACTGGCGACAGGGATTGAGCACCTGCCTCAGGACACTTCTCCGATTGGACGACCCTCTCAAAGAGGAAGCCATACCCAAATAATCTATTTGAGTTGTAAAGAGACTCGTGGATAAGAGGGTATCAGTAAATATAATTTACTTAAACTTCCAGTGGCTCATGCCTGGAAACCCAGCATTTTGGGAGGCCAAGGTGGGAGAATTGCTTGAGGCCAGGAGTTTGAGACCAGACTGGGCAACATAGTGAGACTCATCTCTAGAAAACAATAACAAAAACAAACAAATAAAAAAACAAACCAGGGGGTTTGATGTGGAGATTCAGACAATATGTGCATCTAAATCCCTGGCCCATAACATAGTTCTAGAAGAATCTCTCTCATCAGTAGCCATATTGGGTGGATTTGAGACAATACTGTCTAGAAGTAACTTGGACACTTCTCTGTGACAGTCACTGTACAACTCCTTTCCTATATCTGAGATCTTTACTGGAGAAAAGTATAACTTTAGAGTTTTGAAACTTTTATTTTTATTTTTTGAGTTAGAGTCTCAGTTTTGTCACCCAGGCTGGAGTGCAGTGGCATGCTCATGGCCATCGCAGCCTCGACCTGCTGGGTTAGGTGATCCTTCTGCCTTTCAAGTAGTTGAAACTACAAACGCATGAGTTTTGAAACTTTTAAAGCTGGTTGCAGCTTTGAATTAAGTTCTTATACAAGTGCAGCGTCAAGAGAGTTGCTTCCCCCCTCTTAGTTTCCAGCCAACGAAAAGATCATATTACTCTCAGGGATGCTATTTTTGCATCTGGATGAAATACAGGCAATTCTGCAGTGTCTCTGTGAAAGAGGTTCAAAGCATGGTCTAGTGTTAGATAATGACATTTGAATCTTGGATTCAGCACTTCCTCACTGTATGACCAAGGGCAAATTAACTAACATCTCTGTCCCTCAGTGTTCTCAGCTGTCAAGTGGGGATAATATATAGGAGTATTGTGAGTGAAAGGACAGACCGAGAGTGGGAAGCCATTTTTCATCTTGTTCTTAAACCCTGACCCAATGATGAGAAAGTAGAAGCTATGCTTTTGGAGAAATGCACACTTTAGGTATAATTAACTTTACCGACTTTGTCTTTTCAGAAACCGACTTCCAGGTATCTGAGGTATCTCATAGTGGCAATCAAGCTTGCCTAGAGTAAAGGGAATTTACAAGGCCTAAGACATCATACATTGGGCAAGGACTGTAAAAGTCATGAAACTTGTAATTACAAAAGTTATGACCACTCAGCAGGGGAGCAGGTGGGGATTCGATCTTCCAGTAAATTGGGCACTAGCTATAGGGAAGCCAAGGACCCCCGAAGCTATCCACTGGGAATGCCTACGAGATAAGGGGAAGTACACCCTCCATTAGGTCTAAGGAATGTCGTTTGGGAAGGTGCAGGAGAATTAGAATCCTTGTCACGCTATTCTCTAGGGTCTGTGATAATGTGGGCGGACATTAATGGGTCTCTGTGACACAGGTTCTCCAAGACATCCACAGGTGGTCGATAAGGAAGTCACAGTAGTCACGTGCAACATCTCCAAGAAAAGGATTTAAGCCAGGACTCTGGGGTGCTACGGGGCCACACTCACCTAGAGTGTAGGCCCACTCCCTGTCTGTGGGGGGTGAACTTTTCTTAAATAAATCTTTTCTTCTCTCACCTCTATGTGTTGCAATTCTTTGCATCTACTCGGATCTCTGGGTTGCCGGCGCACACCTCCGGTTTGCCAGCCCCGGCAGTGCTGCACGCCTCCCTGGGCCTCTCCATCCACCCTCACCCTGTCCGTCCAGTACCCTAACAGTGAGTACCAAATTAGTCACACATACGTGTGAAACACTTTGAACAGTGCCTGACACTTAAGAAATGCTATCTAAATATTACATATTTATGATTAATGTAGGGGAAATAATTAAATTAATTAAGTGGAAGTATTATATAAGGATTGTACAATCGATACATTTCTCAGTCCCAGAAAAACCTCAACAAGAATTTTTGAAATCTGTGTGTGTCTTATTGGAAAACTCAGCAAATTCAAAAGATTTAGGTCTGGCTCTCAGCTGTTTTCCTTAACAAAGTCTACCCTAGGGAGATGTCGTGAAGGTAAAAACCAGCATGCTTCCTGGAAAGCTCACTGTAAACGAGAAAAAGCTGGGATAATAACAGGCTCCAGCTTTCTTTTCTCCATTGCTCCAACAATTTGCAAGGGTATTTTCCTACCTGCCGTGTCCCTGCAACTCTCTTCTCGCTCTCCCTCCTTCTCAGCACCCAGCCTCGCGTGTGTTCATTGCATGTGCTTTTCCTGCTGGAGAATCCCTTGGAAAATAAATAAAACGGTTGGCGCCTCAAGACACGTCAAGCCCTGAGAGGGGCGTGACTGCCATCTGAGTCACACGCGATTACAACTCGTTTCTCGGATCGTAGAGTACTTATTTTCTTATTTTTCTTGCTTTGCACGATGACCAGAGAGGATGAAGCGATGTCAGGGACAAAACCCTCCTGCTCTCCTAAGTGATGACCCAGGCTGTAGATCCGCTTCCCGTTTGTCCGGCTTCGCTTAGACCCGAAGACAGAAAACCCAGGATGATGACCCTCTGTAAAAATGTTAAGTGGACCCTTCCCCCACAAAAGCACTGCCTAGCACCAGTCAACCTGCTGTGACCATGCGCCGACCTTGCATTAACATGCTGTTCCCGCTAAACGCTCCTGTCTGTGCCCATATAAATGAATGAATGAAGCCCTAGCATTGCTTCTTCGGAGCGCCGCCTCCACCCCTGCAGCTGGAGTCCCTGGGTGGTCCAGCCTCACGCTCCGAGCTTCAATAAACTCTCTTTAATCTAGATTTTGACCCTTTTGATTAGTTTAGGTTGGCACCCCCTGCCACCCGCGAGACCAAGGGCAAGGCTAAAGATAGCAGAGAGTCAACGAGGGCCACTGGGACGGAGTCTTGACGCCCAGCTGTGTTTAGAACCGCCTTGAGGGAGCAACAGCACATTGTGAGGTCAAAATCACCTCCGTATCCGCCCATCTCCCCGTCGTAGCCCTCTGGCCTTCGACCTGCTCCCGAGCCCCAGAGCACGGCGGGAGTTGTAGTTCTGAAAGGTCCGCCTGGGTCGGCGCATGCGCTCTGGAGTTGTAGTGATCCAGACCCTACTAGGTAGGCGCATGCGCTTAGTAGTTGTGGTTCTCAAGGCTCGCCCAGGTCGGCGCATGAGCTCGGGAGTTGTAGTTCTCAAGGCCCACGTAGGTGGGCGCATGTGCTCGGGAGTTGTAGTTCCCAAGGCCTGTCTAGGTCGGCGCATACACTCGGAAATTGCCGAGCCTAAGGTCTGCCTAGGTCGGCGCATGCGTCCGCGCTCCCCCTCAGCCCCGCCTTACGGATCAGGAAGCGGCCGGTGCTGCCACGCGTTCCGCGAGCGGGGCCTTCTGGGAGTTGTAGTCGCTGGGGGCGGGCGCCGTCGGTAAGGAGACGTAGCTTTCCGTGGAGTCAGTGCTGCAGTTGGTCCCCGGCGGGAGCCACAAGGGTCAGTCCGTGGCCGTCCTCCCGCTCCACTTCCCGGAGGCGAGGAGTCGCCGTCCTTCCCGGCCCTCCCTCCTCCGGCTGGGCGCTCCTGGCTCCGCGGCTGCTTCCCCGCCTCGCCCTGTCCCTGCTCGGGGCATCCCCACAGCCCCATCTCGGCGAGGACGAGCCTCCGGGGTGGGGGGACACACGGCCGCGACTGGGGCCCCGCCTTCCTCGGCCCACCCCGCACTCCCTCCACCCTCCCGTCTCTTCCCCGACCCGCTCACGCGCCTCTCACTCCGTTTTCTCTTCTCTGCAGGATGGACGCGTCCTGGCGCCAGGTGGCCGGGGGCCGAGGCCGAGCCCGAGGCCGAGC